GAACAAGGGAATGACTTCTATCAAAATATAGGAGAAAGCCAGAAGATGGAGGTCACATCGGCAAGATCAGTGAGTAATACTGAAATGCATCATTTTTTTCTACAAATTATAACAATGATTTAAAATCAATCATCATTTTTTTACAAAAAAATCTGTGACACACAGCAAGGCATGGGTAATTTGGCTAGTATAAAATAAATATATTCTAATATTTCATCTTGGGCAAATGTTTTCAGAATTTAGAAAACTACATACAACATTTGATAAAAACATTGTTAAAATCAATTCAATTAATTTTTTTTAATTTCCTCGCTGTTTTTATCCAAAAAACTTACATTTGTATTATCACATCTTGGTCACACTGGGGATTATGGTTATGCAAGCTTCAGATGTGTGTGATATATATAAATCATGCTTCAATAGGAAATAGAAGGGGAACATACATAAACTGACACATTATTTTCATCAAAAATAAACTGGACAAAACCTTGAACAAAGAGGTTGAAAATGTTATTTGATGACAAAGTTTAAATTTCTTTAAGAAAATGACTTTTTCTTCATTCTCTTTTGATAATTTAAGTATTCAATTATCTGAAATTTTGAATTATCCAAACATATTTTTTCAAACTCTGTTACAAGGTGTCCAGATAATCAAAGAAGTACTTTACAAAGTAGAAAAATTTCAATCTGAAACTGAAAGTAGAAGAAACATACCAATTAATTGTGTATAGATTTCTTCTGGTTTAATCAGATTCAAAGATGCTGAAATAATTCCAAATTCTATTGTTTCTTAATTCAGATAAATATCATTTCTATTTCTTTTATAGAGAATATTTTCACTCAAAAAATTTTAAAATTATTCTTTTGTTTTTCATTAATAAATAATTCTTGGTAAAGAAAAATCATCATCATCATCATCATCATCATCATCATCATCATCGTCGTCATGTCATTATCAACAGCAACAGAAGCAGTAACAGCAGCAGCCATCCCATGACTGTATGAAGTTGTAGGGTTTCTGTGCAACCGAGTACCTGATATAGCTTCCTTCATATGTCTTGGTTGCCTGCCAATATTTGAGATGAAATTTAATGAAGTGTTTATTCATGCATAGTATGTCTTGGGCAAGTAGACCTGGCCAAGCCCACTCCTCTCTGTCAAACTACAGCTAATTTCTTCTGACCTGAAGATTTGCTTTTGTCACAGACACATAGTCATTGATTCCATTGCAGGAATCATTTTCCTTAGCAGTTAACTTCATTTGAGGAAGTCAGCATTACTGTATTATCACCACCTTGATTATACTGCCAGTAGTTCAGCTGCACATACAAATTTATTATTAACTAATTGAAATATTTTTCTCTGTTAACATTGTGGCAAAACTTTTAGGAACTAGAATTTTAATGTGTAGTGTTTGTGAAGTAAAACTTAAAAAAACTGTATAAATTAAGATTTAATAAAATTAGATTCAAATTATAGTGAACAGATTATTAGAATATATTCTATTAAATAATCAGTTACAGACAAAATAAAATTGTCTTTTTATTTAAATTTATTTGATAGGATTCTTACAGTTAAACTGAAAGGGAAACCTTTTAATATATCCATTGTAGTTGTATGTGCACCAACAGCACAAAGCATGGAGGAAAAAATTGAAGTTTTACTGCACAGTGGACAGCACCAAGGCTTAATAAAGCATGCAAAATTTGAATGTCTAAGAAGGGAAAGAACAAGATATTGAAATAGTTTGAAAATTTAGACAAGGAACCTGTAACAAATGTGCAAAAAAAATGGTACTTATAGTGTATAGCAAATAACCAGATAATAGCCAGAAACTGGTTACAAAACACCAAAGATGTTTATGGACATAGAGAAATTTAGGAGGATAAATACAGAAGCAAATCAACTACATAATTATCAATAAGGGATTCAGGAATGCAGTTTTACACTGCAAAATGTATGCAAGTGCTAATTGCAGGTGTGACCAACTTCCGGTGATATGTCATCTTAGAGCAAAACTATGCAAGTTGAAGATGTCTGAGGCATCACTCAAATTACTATATGACAGGTTTCTGAACAACCTAAAATTGCATCAGCAAAAAAGAACATTTCAAAGAAAACTAGACAAGATAAAAAGTAATGGATAACAGATGAAATCCTTGATATGATGAAAAGGAGACAGCAAACAATACCAAAATATGTTACAGAATATGGGATAATTCACAAATAAATTAGAAAAAAATGAAGACAAGAGGAATGGTTCAATGAAAAGTGTGCAGAAATAGAAAGAATGAGAATCACAAATAAAGCAGATATGCATAAAAGAATATAAAAGAATATAAGGGAAATAACAGGACAAAAGATGTGCTTATCAACAGTATGTATAAAATCAAAAGAGGGAATGTTGATATTAGAGAAAGTAAAATAATACTTAAAAGATGGAATGAATACATCACAAAACTCTTTCATGATGAAAGAGGAAAACCCACAATGCACAAAAATATGGAAGGACCATAAATATTAAAGTCTGAAGTGAAATCAGCACTAGCCAAATTGAGCAGGAACAAAGCATCAGGATCAGACAGAATTGTAATAGAGATGCTGGCAGCCTTAGATGATTTTGGCTTTAACAAAATTACGGAAATAATAAATGATATATACAAAAGTGGTGGTGTACTGGAAAACCTAAGTAGATCTATTTTTGTAGCATTGCCTAAGAAGACAGGTGTAAATGAATGTGAACTCCATTGGACAATGACGCTAATGAACCACATAATGAAACTTATCATCTGAATTCTGATGAATAGATCAAGTAGCAGAATTAAATTGGAAATAGGACAAGAACGGTGCAATTTTGTTAAAGACACTGGAACAAAGAATGTGATATTTATTGTCAGAATGATATCATTCAGAGCAATATAAATGCAGAAGCATGTATACCTATGTTTTATAGGTTATACAAAAGCATTAGATAAAGTAGGACACAAAGTACTGTTTGAGCTGCTGAGTAAGCTCCATTTATTTGGGAAAGATATTAGAATAATCCAGAACATATATGGGAGCCTGTATATGGATAGAAAATGAATTCAGTAAATATATAAAAATAGAAAGAAATATGTGTCATCTCATCAGACCTATTCAAACATTACATCAAGGAAATCCTGAGAGAACTAGAAATCCTACCAAGATTTATTATTGGTGGCCACAATCTTAACAACATAATGATGTGCAAATGACAGTGCTGATAGCAGATATAGAAAGGAACTCCTAGAGGATGTAATAAAGGAAAGTGAGAAGAAAAGACTGATCATTAACTGCAAGAAGAGAGAATGTATGGTTGTCAGCACAAGGAACAAAATTTATACAGGATTTAAAACTGATATGAAATCATTCCTCTGCAAAGTTTTAGATTTTAAGCATATATAGTTATTAAGTTAGAAATTTTATATTCTTCAAGTAACACACTTTGAAATAGAGCCTACCATTTTTCTGTTAAATATTTGCATTCATTTTGTGTCTACAATTACGTTTGCACAGTAAGAAAGGACAATGTACCAAGTAGGCAGTCCATGTGATAGTCTGAGTAGCAGTTGGATGCAACAGTTCTGAGTTAAAGTAGTAAGAAGAATCAGTAAGACATCTTACTGTGTTTTTTAGTCTATTTCCTGTTGTATAAAAGCTGTCTTCACTGGAAGAAACTTGATTTAAAAAAGAAAAACAGAAAACAATGTTTGTAAAACACCTCAAAAATTTTTGGAATATAAAAATTTTAAATTCGTACTTTATCTAATTTTGTACTTTTCTTTTCCTTTTTCTTTGTGGATCAATTGAATATTTTTACAAAGCCAAATTTGCACTCACTTCAACACTCCATATACGAATAGCATTCTGAATACCACATATTTTTCAATGTCACAATTTCTTCAGTTGAAAAATACTCACAAAAAGTTCATGACAAATAATCTGTAAGTGCTAGATTATTAAACCAAATAATAAAACAGCCAAACAAGAAGATAAGTTGACAAACTATGTGAATATTATAATATTAAATGTGTATTGTGTGCATGTATGTATTGTGACCGTACAGAGGCTTCTAAACATTTTTCTTTTTTTTATATTCACAATATATATTCTTATTCAATATAAATACAGAAAAAGAACTTGCTCCAATTTAGTAATTTTTATTCTTAAGAATTCACCCCAAAAATTCAAACTTCAGTTTGTCTCAAAATCTGTTCATCCATCTTGAAATCATTAAAACACACATTGCAAATTTGAGTTCAAATTTCTTTTAATAAATTTGACATTTATTTTTTAAACTCATCTTTTAAGTAAATGAAAATATTATTCTTGCTTTTAGCATACTCTTCTATAACTTTTGATTTACTCAAAACCTGAAGCACATAGCATAAAACTGGTGATATACAATTGTCAATATACTGAAAGCATTTTGTCAGTCATACTAATCAATGTATCCCATTTTCATAACTGCTGTGTTATAAGTAAGTGATTCAACAAAATACTAATCTCTCTAATTTAGTTGAAACATCAAAAAGAACTTCAGTCAAACAGAATTTTAAAGCATGGTTTTTAATTTCTTGTTATTCAATCTACTAAGAGAATTTATTTAATGCTCTCTATATCTATAGTTATATATTGCTAAAGTAAATTTAATTTAATTGATATACTTAATTATATTTCAAAAGCATCTGGAATATTTACTTCATAAATGTACAGTTTTATTATGAAATTATGAAGAATAGTGTTATGCACACATATTTATAAAGATAAAAACATTTTCAAAACAAAATAGAAAGATGATAACAAATAAAGATAAAATTAAATTTTACATTTTTCTTTTTTCTCAAATAATTTTACACAAACTATAATTAATAATTCAAGAAAGTGTCTATTTTGAACTTTACTTTAACTATTTGTTTAGCTGTCATAGTTATTTTGTTCTTACATAAAGAGATGAAATGGGAAAAGTCATAGAAAATTCACTCTTGCTCTGGGAGAAACATGTCTTCAGCTGTTGCCAAAACACCCTCGGGATCACTTAGCTCCACCTGATTAAATTACAAAGGATAAAATATAAATTTGTATTTTTAAAAACTGTTTGGTTCTATTTATCAAGAGAAACAAAGAATTAAGATAAGAATTATATTTAATAGTTTAAGAATTACTTTCTAAAAATAACAAGAATTTTATTCGCCATCCAGAGTCATTTCAAAATATTGAAAACTTGTGTTAAATTGTCATTGACTCTATAAAGTCAAACTTTTAGTAAGTAAAATGTGTTTAATTACATGTATTTATTAAAAATTAGTTTCATATATTATTATTGTTTTCATCATTACTTAAACAGACTGTTCCACTAGTAAAAAATAAAAATTTTTCAGGAGATAATTTTCATAGATTAGTATTCATAAGGCCTTTCTTAGGCTAAATCATTTGACAGAATTGAAAAATATACAATTTTTATCATTTTAGAAGGGGGGGGTCTCCTTTATAATATAAGTACAGTCCAAAATTTATCACTGATATTTTAAAGAGTTATCTGGCCTAGTTGTTATTTATAAATTATAAGTAGCAGGTTCTGTAAGTTTGTATATGTGGGGAGTGAAATGAGTAATAGCTAAGAAAGAGAAATCAGAGAACAGAATTGCAATTCCAGTCAGGTTTGTTATATTTACTTATACACAAATACTCCTCGGAAAGGCATCGCCTTACCTCTTCTCCCCCATTTATGGACCTAGTCATTATCTAGATTGGTGACTGCTTGGGAATACCAGTTGCTTGATTGTGTAATTATGGATAAAGGTTTGGAATTGGAAATCAAAGAGCTAAGTTCCAATTCAAGTCAGGTTCGTTATATTTACTTATACACAAATAATCTTGGGAAAGGTATGAATCTATCTTTACATTTATGGACCTGGTCATTATCTAATTGGTGATAACCAGTTGCTTAAAGTGCAGATGTGCAGGTGTAATTATGGATAAAGGTTTGAATTGGAAATCAAAGAGCTAAGTTCCAATTCAAGTCAGGTTCCCCACTTATACACAAATAATCTTCTCCCCCATTTATGGACCTGGTCATTATCTAGATTGGTGACTGCTTGGGAATACCAGTTGCTTAAAGTGCAGATGTGCAGATTGTGTAATTATGGATAAAGGTTTGGAATTGGAAATCAAAGAGCTAAGTTCCAATTCAAGTCAGGTTCGTTATATACACTTATACACAAATAATCTTCTCCACCATCTATGGACCTTGTCATTATCTAGATTGGTGACTGCTTGGGAATACCAGTTGCTTAAAGTGCAGATGTGCAGATTGTGTAATTATGGATAAAGGTTTGGAATTGGAAATCAAAGAGCTAAGTTCAATTCAAGTCAGGTTCGTTATATACACTTATACACAAATAATCTTCTCCACCATCTATGGACCTTGTCATTATCTAGATTGGTGACTGCTTGGGAATACCAGTTGCTTAAAGTGCAGATGTGCAGATTGTGTAATTATGGATAAAGGTTTGGAATTGGAAATCAAAGAGCTAAGTTCCAATTCAAGTCAGGTTCGTTATATACACTTATACACAAATAATCTTCTCCACCATCTATGGACCTTGTCATTATCTAGATTGGTGACTGCTTGGGAATACCAGTTGCTTAAAGTGCAGATGTGCAGATTGTGTAATTATGGATAAAGGTTTGGAATTGGAAATCAAAGAGCTAAGTTCCAATTCAAGTCAGGTTCGTTATATACACTTATACACAAATACACTTGTGAAAGGTATGAATCTATCTCTTCTCCCCCATCTATGGACCTTGTCATTATCTAGATTGGTGACTGCTTGGGAATACCAGTTGCTTAAAGTGCAGATGTGCAGTTTGTCTAAGTATGGATACCTGTTTGGAATTGGAGATCAGAAAGCCAAGTTCCAATTCCAGTCAGGTACTTTATATTTACTTATACACAATTATTCTTGGGAAAGGGATGAATCTATCTCTTTTCTCCCACCTATAGACCTGATCAGTATCTTGATTGGTGACTGTTTGTGAATACCAGGTGCTGTAAGTGTAGATGTGCAGGTTGTATAATTTTGGATAACGGTTTGTAAATAGGAAATCAGAGAGCCAAGCACCAATCTCAGTCAGGTTTGTTATATTCACTTATAGACAGATACTCTTGGGAAAGATAAGGATCTATTTGTTCTCTCCCTTGCTATGTGTTAAATATTTGGACCTGTTCCAAAAATTCTTTATTATCTAAAAAGAATTCTTACAATTCTAACAACATGCTCCGGCTTTAAATAACCTGAAAAATAACCTTGAGAAGCCAAAACAAAGCAAGCAATCAATCAATAAAAAACAAATGGTAAGTTTGAAGATGTGCTTACGTCATTGATATCTGAATTTCTTTCTGGTCTGGGGGCACACAGATTGGGGTTTAATTACTATTTATCTTAAATCCTCTTCCAAATCTTTTATGAGTGGACCAGTCTGCTTAAGTAGTTCCTAAAATTATAACCATTTGTCCTCTACTTGAATTTATGTATATGTGTTTGTTCTTCAAGGAACCTTTTTGTAAATAAATGTAAAAGAAAATTCTATTTCATTAAATAAACTATTGTCATTGCTTGTTTAAAATATTTTCTTAAAATAAAACACATAAAAATGTATCTATCTGTTTTGTTCTTTATTTAAAAGAATTTTTTTTTGCAAAGAGAATATTATTTTCATATGCCTATATCAATAACGTAAGCACAGTTTCAATATTGACATTTGTAAATAACAAATAATTTCAGAATAACTCTGAAAATATTAAGAAATGATTTTACACTATATCAATATTATGAACAGGAACCCCTTTCTGAAATTCTAAAAAATATCAATACCTTTTGATTCTGACAAATGCGATGCCTTGAGGAAGGTCTAATGAATGCAAATCTACAAAAATTACTTCTAAAAGATTTTTCCTCTATTTTTTTCTGAGTGGACAGATCAGTCCACTTAACCTTAAACACTCTTCAGGTAACTCCAATCACCAAGGAAAGCATTTGTCCTGCCATTGCAGTTGACTCTAATTGCCAAATCAAAGTATATCTAAATTTCACAGTTGTGTTGTCACATCCTGCTATAGCAACAACAAAAAACAACCTTAACTTAAAATTGAGATCAAGGCTACTGCAGTTTGCATTTGAGGAGACACCATGTATAGTAGAAAGAGAAATAATACTTATGAATAAATAATGTAAGTAGTGTCTTTTAATTTATAGCAGGAGGACAATGAAGATCAGTTGATATCGTTACATAATTTTACTTATTGATTAATTTAATATGAGGGACATATTAAAATAACCAAGAAAATACAATACAACTTAAAGCTTTTGATATTAATAAAATAACATTGTATTAATACATATAACCCATAAATGTAGACATTATAATCTGCTTTTGTCTTTAAATTGTTAACAAATGGGTCTTTTATATTTTACTTGACATGCTAGTAAAAGATTTTTGTTGGAATATTTTTTTCTTGTCTTTCCATATTTCGATTATATAATTTTATTTTAGCCACTGCATTTTTTAATAAGTTATTATTCTTGTTAGGTATGAAATCATTCACTTCAAATATTGTAATGAAATTAGATATCTTACCTTTGGAATAGGATATTTTGTTGGGTATGGTGCACTGTCTCTATTGAAATCAATGATTTTACCACATTTAGGTATATCATCTACCCAAACGCCTTTATACAGTTGACCAGTATCAAGGAAGAAGAACTTCCCATGACCATTTTTCATGTTGTTTTGCCATAATCCTTCATATCTGTTTTCATTAGCTGAAAATGTTTAATTTAAAACAATTTCTTTGTTTAATGAGAGGAGGAAATAGAAAAACATAATAGTAAATGTAACATAATAAAAATATTACTACTGACTTCAAGTTTCAAATTATGCATAAAGATGGAAAATTATAAATATTCTTAACAATGAGGCAATAGCCTTAATGACGATAAAGAAATATTTCTATTATTTTACAATTATGATACATTTTTGACATTAGTAGCAGTTTGTTTTCTTATATGAAAAATTGTAGTCTTTGAAAATAAAATGTAAAAGAAAAACATTTCTAGATGATTGAATGATTATGTAAGGAAAATGCTGAAAGAAATAAAAAGAAAATATAAATTGTTCATTTGAAACAATCTATATTCATCCTTAGTGTTACTGACAAATAAGAAATTACATATATATATATATATATATATATATATATATATATATATATATATATATTATATTTAGTTTGATTGCTGTGAGTTTGTGACCCTAGGTTTCACACTCTTTGCAATCGTCAAAAAGATAAAAACACTGACTGGAACACTACCACGGTTTTTGACCACCAAGGTCTCATCAGGTGCTTTGTTCAGGGAGGGGGTGCTGTAGTGGAATAAAATGAAAGGGAGGGGAAAAAATTAAAAAAATATAAAAATAATAGAATAAATAAAGAATAGATTAAGAAATCCAAGGCGGGTAATTTTGATGTCCCCCAATGATCATATGATGGGGCAGAGGTATCTTAACTGATGGGAATATACATCATAAATAAAATAAATAAAATTGTCTCCAACAATGACCATGAAATATATTGGGATGATGGACTGATGGTGGTACAAGATAATAGAAGAAATAATGATTGCATCAGGAAAAAGCTACACAGGATATTTAAAGATCTGGATTTCAAGATCATTGTGGATATCAACAGGAAAGTAGTCCAGTTTTTGGACACAGAACTAAACCTCACTATCTTTCGTAAATCCTAATAAGGATTTGAGATACGTTAATACAGCATCCAACAACCAATCAAGTGTGATTAGACATATCCCGTTAGGCGTACAATGCAGATTGTTAAAAAATTATTCAAATGAAGAAATATTCAATAAAAAAAAAAAGAAAATATATGTATCTGTGTTAAGAGAGGCAGGGTATAATGCCAGCCTGTGTTTCAAGGACCAAAAAAAACAAGAACAGATGACAATAGAAAAAGTAAAAAGAATATTATCTGGTTCAACTCACCCTTTAACATGGAAGTAAAAATAAATAGGAAAAATTTTTTTTTAACCTTGTAAATAAGTACTTCTGAAAAGCATCTGGGCTGTACAAGTTATTTAACTGCAATACTGTCAAATTGAGCTACAGTTGCACTAACAACATAGGCAAGATTATCAAAAGATTGAGCAAAAAAAAATTCAAATCTTGAAGAGGATGTGAGAGGGGAAAATAAGGCCCTTTCTAGGATAAAAATAATTCCCCATTAAATGGGGTATGTTGTACAGAACACATTGTGTATTGTGCTGAGGTAGAAAGTGACAATGGCAGTGCAAAAAAATACACTGGTTGCACTGAGGGCCAATTTAAAAAGAGGTGGTATAACCATACCTCATCATTTAGAATTCCAGAACACAAGTTCAATATGAAGCTGGCAAGAGACTATTGGAGCTTTAGTGAAAAAAAATAACTGAAGCCCGGCCATTAAATGGAGTATTTTACGGAATGTAAAGGCTAGCAAAGTGAATGGAAACTCGTATAAGTTGTGTCAGGAGGAGAAAACTAGCTATTGCAACATACAAGGCTGGCACTGAGTTGTTGAATGGGAGGTCTGAGATCATGACCAAATGTAGACACATCAGGAAGTTAACTTTCAGGCTATATGAATCTGGATAAAGTTGGAAAATTTTTAAAAAATTTTAATTATTTTCTTTATTTTTATATATATATTTTTTCCCTCCCCTTTACTCCATGACAACTGCCCCCACTTCCAGTGTCAAATGAAGGCATTTAAGTTCTTGTGTTGGCTCTGATGAATTTGATGAACATACCACCTGACATGACCTTGGTAGTCAAAACTGTGGCTCTTCTGGTCAGCGTTTTTAACTTTTTAAGATATTACATAGCTCTGTAAGTTTGGTTTTCCTACTTAAAATTGAGCACTTTTTAACGTTTATGATTTTAACAAATATTTGAGTATTTTTTATTTCGGTATATATATATATATATATATATATATATATATGAATATGTATAAAATAAGTTATGTTTAGTTAGTAAGAATTCTTTTAAAGAGGTTTTGTTTAACAATACCATGTAAAGCAAGTTTTGCTGAACAATAAAGTCTGATGATCCGCAGTCCTTTAAAAGGGCTGTGGTGAAATAATTTATTACATGGAACCTTAAAGTGGTCTGTTTTTATTTAATATATATATATATATATATATATATATATATATAACAAAATACAGTGATAGTTGGTTAGATCCAACTAAAGTGAATCTGGTAGTAAAATGTATAAAATATAAGAAAAATATAGAATATGAAATAAAACCAGATTTGGTTGAGATCCACCCTCAAATTAAATGATTGTCAGATCAGGTTCAATTTTTGTCTTACTAAGCTCATGGTACTGGCCTCAGTTCTAGGTATAAAAGTCTGGTTGAGCAATATATATATATATATATATATATATATATATATATATATATATATATACACACACACACACACACACACACACACACACACAATTGCTAATAATAATATTTGTTCATCAATCAAAACTCTTTGACTATACTTTAATAACTTTATAAGTCACATATTTGAAAATTAAAGATTGAAACCTAATCTATAATTACAAGACAATAAGAAGTTATTTAAACAAATTTATTATAAAAATTTCAAAGAACCCAAAATATTGCAACTTTCTTAGAATAAAACCCATTATAAAGACTGAATGAGGTTGATAAGATTTTTTATTGATTTAAACATTGAAAAAAATAAACAATATTTGAGAAGGTGATGTGAACAATCAAATGTGTCAAAAGGGGCTGGCAAATCTCTCTTTTTAAATAACATTCAATCTATATAAGGTTCAAGAGTCACTTAAAATTGAGGCTTACTGAAAGGGTCATGTGATATAAATATAGTTAGTAGGAAGTGAAGTTTATGATGATAAGTAAGATAGATAATGATTGACATTTGAGGTTAAAATTGTAGTGAGGCTGATAGCAATCAAATCCAGTTAATGCTATACAATATAGATAATAGCCAAATTATTTAAGTCAACAGCTGAATATCATTTTTCACCAGTTTGGTTATGTTAGTCATTTTGATGTGTGGCTTCCACATAAAGGGGACAAAAACTACTGTGATATTTTATGTACAATTTACTATTTAAATTTAAAGAAAACATCCTGTTTTAGGAACAAATTGTGATGGGTCATGAAAAGTGGATACTTGCAAAGGATTTTGGAACAAGTGAAATGAACCACCACTAATCATACCAACAGTAAATTTTCATTCAAAGACAGTAATACTGGATATATGGTGGAATTGAAAATAAGTCCACTGCAATAACCTCCTTTTATAGAAATAAATGATTGATTTAAACAAGTATTTAGTCCATTTAGACCAACTGAAGACAGCAATCAATGAAATTCATCCAGAATTGATTATGAAAAATTTCACCAGCATATCCACTAGAATAGCATGAGATCACATGTTTCTTTGGTGGCTAAACAAAGATTGTAACAATTTGACTGAAAAGTTCCCATTCATCCACCGTATTCAACAGATATTGCAAATTTGCATTACCATTTATTACAGTTTGTACAGAAATCTCTTAATGAAAATGTTTCAATTCCTTGGAAGACTACAAAAAGCAACTGAAGTAATTTTTTCTGAGGACAAAAGGGTTTTTCAAGAATGGAATTATGAAATTGGTTGAAAGACGGCATAAGAAAATGTAACAAAATGGTGAATATGTTGTTCAATAAAGTTAATGTCTAGAAAAATAAAACAATTTTCTCTTATTTAATAACCAAACATTTTTACCAATCAAGATTAAATAAGATTAAAACAAACAATGAATAAAATATAAATATTTGTCAGCTGTTATTGTTACATATATTTAATTCTTATTTTTTATTCTTATTTTTATACAGTTTTGACAGTTTTCTGATTACATATTACAGATTTAAATATAATCAAGGTTTGTAAATTTTATTTCAAAGTTATGGAATTAAGTAAGATTGAAATTTAGATATGGTTTTTCTCCAGTGTTTATATAACTTTATAAATGTTATATAAATGCTTTATAGTGTTTATATAATGCTTTATAAATAAACTCAAGAATAAATAGGAAGTTTCTTGAATGATGTGTTTATTCACAAACTTTAACAAAATTTGTCTCAGTGAATGAATAAAATAATTTCTGATTTAAGAAAATTAAAATTTTAAAATGAATTGTAATATTAATTTTAAAAATTATTTTAAAATGAATTGTAATATTAAAATATTTAAATAAATTATAAACAAAACCTAAAATTGCAAAGATCTTTACCAAGTCTTAGCATGCCTTGACCACTTCTCATGTCATCATACCATTCACCTTCATATATTGTGCCATCGGCATAGTACATTCGTCCCCACCCACTTCGTTTTCCACCATACCATTCACCTTCATAATATTCATTAAGGCCATAGAAATGAGAACCGTAACCCTTAAAATAAAGAAAACACAATTTATTATTATTCACCTGAAATTCAACTTCAAATACTTTAAAATATCATGCATACATTTAAGATTAATTTTGCAATGTAACTTTCATTTAATGTATATTATCTACAGGTTTTCATTTTAAGTTTTCTATCATTTAATTTAATAAAGTGGTAAATGTTTCCATCAATGTTAGTTATCATTTTATCTAAGCTGATGAACAAAAGAACATATAAATGAATTCCTTATAGTTTTAAAAACATTAGCATTAGCATTTCCATTCCAGCAGATGAATAAGGTGCAAAGAGTAAAAGTCAATGGCTACAAAGCATCAATGTCTCATCAAATATATACAATTGAGAAGGAATGCAAACAAATGTTGATGATGAGCAAAGATTATTTGAAATCTAGACATATAAATATTGTGCCTTTTGTAATTATTGAATTATGTCAACAGGACTTCTTGAAATTCAAAAAATATTAAATAAAAGAAATTAAAATTATTTGGAATTCCATTTTTCTTTCAGGATCTTGAGAGAAAATTTACTACTTAAATAAAAGCAAATATGCATATAAATTTATATAAATACTAATACTGATTAGATATATTCTATGCATACACATATATAGATACAGTGTCAGATATATAAATACAGTGTGAAATCAAATACTGACTTTTTGGAGTTACTTGCACTTTGTTTTCATTTACAAATATCAATTTTAAAACTGTGTCAATATCATTGATAACTGTGTGCTACTACTGTTGTCTCTTTTTCTAATTCAGGAATTTCTTCATTTTTTAAATAATTTGGAAAATAATTTTAAAAAAGTTTTTACAGGATTCAGAAATATCCATCATTGTGACGCATGTCTTTAATAATGATTCACATACCCAGAGATATGTTAATAAAATTAAGTCTTTTAATTAAATGAATAAATAACATAAAATGATTATGTATCCACTTGTTATTCATTTCAGATAAATAATTATCATCCCCCAATGTTTGTACAGTTAGTCATTTAAGTGCCACATGCATCAGTGATCATGTCTCTTTTGATTCATGACTGACTAGGCAGAAGATTTTTCCCTGCAGTAAACTGGTTTCCAGCCAAGGCTTACAGGACCCAGCATGTCCTGGTATTCACTCCATACTTGGGGGAGAAGAGATGGATTCATACTTTTCCCCAAGGGTATTTGCATGTAAGTTAATGTAACAAACCCGACTGTAATTCAAGCTCAGCTTTCTGATTTCTCATTATCTATTACACCGCACATCAATATTTGTACAAATGCTTCTTCTCAAAAAGACAAAAAACTTTAAGCTTTTTAAAAAATTGTTTAAAAAATGAAGAAAATTCTGAATTGGGAAAAGTAAATCTTCAGTAGTATGTGCAATTACTAAAGATATAAGCACAGTTTCAAGCTTGACATTTGTAAATAAGAACAAAGTACATATAACTCTTTAAGAAGTCAGAGATCAATTTGACACAGTATTTATATTATGAATAACAACTTTCTTCTAAAAGGATAAAAAAATAAATATTTTTACTTTCTGACAAATGTCATGCTTAGAAGAAGGTCTAATGAATGCCAATCTACAAAAATTATTCCAAAAGAATTTTTTATGAGCAGACCAGTTAACCTCAGCAGTACCAATAACTGTTTTGCAAAGAGAAAAGTAATCAAAATTGTTTAAGTATTTTACATGTCTTTTGTTATTTTTCCATCCTCCTGCATATTGTTTCTGCAATCCACCATGACCATCTGGGACACTAAGGGTACCAAAGCCATTTCTTTTGCCATATTTCCAATCACCATCATACATGTTTCCAGAAGCTTTCCATTTGTAGGTACCTTTGCCTTTTATTAAATGACAAAAAAATATTATTGAAAGTAAAACAATAACAAGAAAAACAATAACAAGATTTAATTTATAATAATGGAAAATTAAATTATAATGATTAAATTACTATATATTTAAGAAACTAATTAAAAATAATTATATTCAATTAAAATTATGGAAAATTTTGTAAGCTGAAAGGAAAAACAAGAAAGTAAAATAGCATATAAACTAACTTTCTAGAGCCAATTATGAAATAAATATGTATTGTAAATGTTGTGTATTTGTTAAGCAGGCAGACGAGTGATAGATGATAAAATAGATGACGTTCAATAAAAGGTTTTAAAAATGATCTACCTTAAAACAAAAGAATCAGAAACTAGAGAAAAGAATGAGTGAAATAAAGGGTTCAGTTTGACAATCCAACCACCTGAAGTAGGCCGGAGCGTACAACGGCCGAAACGTAATAAATATGGCGACAAAGATGAGGACAATAGTCTGAATAATGTAAATAATGTACATAATACCTCATCTCAGAAATATAGATAGATAAATAGTATAATCTACATAATAAATTTGAATGTCAGTGTGTCACTGTATCAGACTTTTTCAACTTTACTCCTAGAGGCTGTAACCCAACATATACCATTTTGGAATCAGCCTGATTCTGTGAGCAAATTAAAACGTTCTGGGTTGGATCCTGAAATTTTGGATCTTCAAGTTTTCATTACTGAGATTGCTTTTGGATTCCACTATCTTGGCTTTTACTGATAAAAACAATTAAAGGGACATGACTCTCTAACTTTCAATAACTCATGTTCAAATGAAAAAATTATTGTTATCAAATTGCAATGTTTCAAAATAAAATTGTCCATGTTTTCAATTTTACTCTTAGAGGCTGTAACCCAACATATACCATTTTAGTGTCAAGCCAACTCTGTGAGCAAATTAAAAGCATACCAGGATTTGTCTGAACCTGCAATTCTGAAATTTTGGATTCCCAAGTTTTCATTACTATAATTGTTTTCGTTGAGTATTTTCATGTGATTTTTTGCAACAAATTTTTTTGTACAATAACAATTTTATAAGTTGGAAATAAATTTGGGAATAATTGAAATTAATTGTGACATTCAATGAAAGTCACCCATTAAATAAAAATAATTGTTTGTACAGAAAGTAAGGACCTATGCAGATGAAATTGTCTTTAAATTAAGTGGTGGCAGAAGAATTATCGTTGAACTTTTAAAAGGTAAGCTTAAATATTAATGCAATACTTAAATGCAGCAATTAATTTTGAGTTCTATAGTTTATTGTTGCCTATCGCATCTACTCCTCCCTACCTTGTGATGAAGGACCAATCAAGAGCTCTCCACAGGAGCTAGCTTAAATGCCATCCAATAGGGTGGCTTTTAAGCTAGTGGTCAATATATTCTATATCAGACGTGCGTATTCTTGTTTTTGCTGTAAATTCTTTGGTAAAATAATAAAAAATGTGATGTTACCTCTACAAAAAACAGGTTCAAAAGTTCAAAGAACATTTGAAAAATTCTTTTCTCATATGAAAGGAAGATGAACCATTCAGAAACATATTGAGCTAGCCATGAACTTGAATTGTATTTATCTAAAAGAAAAAACAATTCTATAAGCCAGAAGAAAATTAAGCAAAAAAAAAAAAAATTACTGGTAACAAATTTGGGACTATTTGATTATGTTGGTCAGCATTCAAGATATATGAAATTTGTCATTTTAAGGTACAGAAGAATAATTGTACAGTGCTAGAAAAAACTTTTAAAGTTTATAGAATATCTAGCACTTTTTGAGCCTATCATGAATGAACATTTGTATAGTGTTAAAAGTCAAGAAAGAATAGTTCATAACCTTTGAAATTTTGTACATATAATTTACTCCAGGAATACATTAAAAATAAATAATAACAAAGGACTCTAGATATCCAAATTGTTCTTAAAAATGAGAAAAAATTCAAAATTTAAGATTTTGATGCTCTGTAACAGTCATTACAAAAGTTTCAGATAATTGAACCAGTTGCATTTTGAAAGTAGATATAAATCTCTGTTATACTCACAAAATTAAGACACTGAAAATAATTCAGTCTGGATTTACTAATCATTGAATAGAATGTCTGTTGTAACCTAGGGAAAGTTATTGAATAGAATAATCACATGAAGGTTGGTAATGAACAATAATACTTAGGACAAGAACAACACATATAAGATTCGCCAGTTGCACATAGAAGTGAGTCAAGTGAATTCCATAATGAATCTTCAACTGCAGGATATCTACCAACCACCCCAAGCAGTCAGATGTGGCACAAGGTCAAATTTAATGTGGGGTATCCAAGCCTGTAGGCACGGCCAAAAATTCCCCATAGATGCCATATAAAATGGGGTTGTGTAGCTGTTTCCTGAGACGAGACTCTGCCCTTCAACATAGGCTTGTCTGGGAATCCTCTCAGCCCGAAGGCAGAGAATTTGACCAGCAAACCTGGAGACGAATCTCCAACTGCAGACCAACATACAGTATTTACTACTGTATGTATGGGAATGGGGACATACCCATTATAGATATACTACAACAATGTCTCAGACTCAAATCTGAAAATTCAATGTCCAACCAATTTTTTTTTCAAAAGATATTTTGGAAATAACATCAACAGAACAGGTCACTTTGAAGTCTTTCAGTTAACCTGACATATAGGGAAATTACTGCATAATATAGTTGAAAAATCTCTTACATTTATTATAAAAATTTTGTTGTTATTCTTGTCTCTTGTTCTGAGACCTTTCTAGGTTAATAAGGATGAAATTTTATTATAGTCTACTAAATTGGTATGGATATGCCTGTACATATCTCAGAATAAATTCTAACTCACATATTTTCATTAGTCAGGATTTATGAAAAGTAATAAATTGGAAGAAAACAACTGGATAATAAAATGTGTAATGTGTAGCTTAAAAATATAAAATAATTTGCAAAATTTGAGATTTTATTTATCAAATCAAGTATCAGTTGAATGTGTAAAGCTATGAAGCATATAAATTAAATTGCAATGTCTCCTAGTTACAAATGTCCATATAAGTATTCTAGGGGTATTTTTAATTAACCCTTAAATACTTATTTATTAAGACATATTTTAATTGAGAAGCATGTTCAAGGAAATACAAAAAAGAAATCAATGTAACTCTGTAGTCCAAGTTTTAGTACTGCTGATATCAAATGTTTTAATGTGTGTCTAGTATGTGTGCATCTGTGACAAAAATAGGGAGAAATCCAGTCACTGAAATTAGTTCCAAACTTAATTTCAGCCATATCATGTTTACTATGTAGAGGTTCATGAAAAGGTGTGTTTTTTTTTGTTTTTTTAAATTTGGTGCTACTTTTATACTTACATCTCACAAGTCTAATATCCTGTCCTTATATATCTAAGGGAAGTAATATCCCACTTTTGGTACACATGTTTTAGCTATTTTTTCCTGTGAAAATGTTAATGTTAAAATATTCCTTTCTGAGAATGGTTGCTATAACCACTAATGATTTACAAAAGTACTGATCATATTTATTTGCTAGTGCATCAATGGCCTGAATGTATCATAGTTTTTATACAGAATTCTTGGACTGTAGTGTTTGCTTCTTTCTTGTCTGCTATGTAAACATCTTTTCAGCTGTTGAATTCAGGAAATAAATTTTTGTTCTATTGAGGGTGATGTTTTGCTCTCTATATGATGAAGTACTTGTCATATCTGCATAACATTCTGAATGGGCCTTTATAGTTTGGCTGAAGAGGATGTAAAATTGAAGATGCGTGTACAGTTATGTAAATAATGTGTCATATATGTTAGTCTGTTAGCTTTCTTTGTATGTGAGTGCACCATGCTGAACATTTTTGTCTTGTGAAGATGTTATTTCTGGCATGTCTGCTGGTGTGTTTACTATCTTTGAAGCCAAAGAGTTGTGCCATAAACTAGTTCTAGTGATGAACAATTCAAATCTTTTCCTGCAAAATATAAGGCAAGGAGGACTAATGGTAGATATTAGTGTGAGAAAGGGAGAAGTACTGAAACACCCAATAGATTTAGATTTTGTCACAAAAATTAGGGAATTGGAACAAGATGAAGCCCATAAGTACCTAGGAACTAGCAAAGGAGATGGTATACAACATACCCAAATGAAAGAGAAGGATAAGAAAGGAGTACTACAGGCATGTGCATCTGGCACTGAATACTGAGCTGAATTCAAAATCAGAACATCAGCCATAAACACATTGGCTGTCCCTGTTTTTATACAGTCTTTTTTATTAACTGAACCATGGCTGATATTAAACTAATAGACACCAAAAACAAAAAAGCCTCAAAAATATACCACATACATCATTCTAAAGCTGATGTTGATTGTCTGTATGTGTCCAGATCCAAAAGAGGCAGAGGATTAGTTCAACTAGAACTGTCCTACAAAACTACAGCAATTAACCTTCAATGATACCTGGAAACTACAGAAGACTGGATGATAATATGTGCCAAAGAACATTAAAGTATTAAGTGACTTTATTCTGTAATAAAGGAAGCCAACAAGTTCAGAATGGAGTTTCAAATGGGTGTAGAAATACAAGTAAAGCGCAAAACACAGACTGAAGCTGTAAAATACTCAAAAAAGAAAGTAAAAGCAAATGCAACTAACCAGATACAGAAACAATGACAAGATAAACTGCTTCCCAGTCAATACTCTGCCCATTGATGTAGACAAACCCCATACACAACAGTGGCTACTTAGTGCAGGGTTAAAAACTGAAACTAAAGGTTTTATCTTTGCTGACCAATGCTTGTTAACTAGAAATTATCAAGCATTTGTGTTAGCCCAAAATACAGATTTTCTGATAAATATGACAATCAATTTACTCTGATAGGCAGTGGCCAAAAAAACAAAAAAAAAACGAAACAAATCCCTTAGAACATCAGCTCTGGTACCAAATTACACAGTCTTCAAGATTGTCACCAGCATTGAGTTC